TTTTATCAATAAAGTTTTTGTTTTTTTACTCATTGACTTTTTAGCTCACCTGAGCTTGCTCAGGGTGAGCTTTTAGGATCGGTGAATGTCCGTCGTACGTCCACAATTGCTTGTGAATACTCTAGCGGTCGCATTTTTGCCTCAATCATCATCAAACTTGGTCAGGATGCTTATCTAGTTGAAAGCTCGGATGAGTTCAAACATGGCTCATATCGGATGAAAAACTAGGTCACAAGAACTAAAAATAGAAAAACCTTGTGAACACTCTAGAGGTCACATTTTTGACCCAATCATCATCAAACTTGGTCAGGATGTTTGTCTAGGTGATAGCTCAGATGAGTTCGAACATGGGTCATCTCGAATGAAAAAGTAGGTCACAGGAGCTATAAATAGAAAAACCTTGTGAACACTCTAGTGGTCACATTTTTTAACCAATCATCATCAAACTTGGTCAGAATGCTTGTCTAGTCAATTGCTTGGATGAGTTCGAACATGGGTCATCTCTGATGAAAAACTAGGTCACACGAGCTAAAAATAGAAAAACCTTGTGAACACTCTAGTGGTCACATTTTTGACCCAATCATCATCAAACTTTGTCAGGATGCTTGTTTAGATAATAGCTCGGATGGGTTTGAATATGGGTCATCTTGGATGAAAAACTAGGTCACCGGAGCTATAAATAGAAAAATCTTGTTAACACTCTAGCGGTCACATTTTTGCATCAATCATCATCAAACTTGGTCAGGATGCTTATCTAGTTGATAGCTTGGATGAGTTCGAACATGGGTCATCTCGGATGAAAAAGTAGGTCACCGGAGCTAAAAATAGAAAAACCTTGTTAACACTCTAGCGGTCACATTTTTTGCATCAATCATCATCAAACTTGGTCAAGATGCTTGTCTAGGTGATAGCTCGGATGAGTTCGAACATGGGTCATCTCGGATGAAAAAGTAGGTCACCGGAGCTAAAAATAGAAAAACCTTGTTAACACTCTAGCGGTCACATTTTTGCATCAGTCATCATCAAACTTTGTCAAGATGTTTGTCTAGGTGATAGCTCGGATGAGTTTGAACATGGGTCATCTCGGATGAAAAAGTAGGTCACCGGAGCTAAAATAGAAAAACCTTGTTAACACTCTAGCGGTCACATTTTTGCATCAATCATCATCAAACTTGATCAAGATGCTTGTCTAGGTGATAGCTCGGTTGAATTCGAACATGGGTCATCTCGGATGAAAAACTAGGTCACAGGAGCTAAAAATAGAAAAACCTTGTTAACACTCTAGTGGTCACAATTTTGACTCAATTGTCATCAAACTTGGTCAAGATGTTTGTCTAGGTCATTGCTGGAAATAAATCAAACATGGGACATCTCGGATGAAAAACTAGGTCACAGGAGCTAAAAATAGAAAAATCTTACACTCTAGTGGCTACTGTTGTGACCCAAATATTCTGTTAATTGGCCTGAAAGTTTGTTTTGATGATTTCTAGGTCAAGTTTGAATATGTGTCACCTGGGTAAAAAACTAGGTCGCACTGCTCAAATATGGATAATCCTTGTTAACACTGTAGTGGTCACATTTTTGACTCACCTGTCATGAGACTTGGTCAGAATGCTTGTCTAGGTAATTGTTTGGATGAGTTTGATAAGTCAGGTGAGCGATCTAGGGCCATCATGGCCCTCTTGTTTTGTTTTTGAATACTTTAATTTTAATTCATTTCTGATTTGATTGGATCAAAACTGAAATGCTTTGTACATATTTACTAATTACATGTTGAGACATAAGAATTAAATTCGTGTTGGTTTTCCTCTTACTAAATTGCAATTCAAGGCCTTATGACATGAATGAATTATTTAGCTAGCTTATGAGATTTTTTTTTAAGCTTCTAAGAACATTACTCATTCTTTTTAAATTCTCTGTGTACAGTTTATTTAAACTCATAAAAATATTTTTTGTATGTAGTTTTTTTTATAATGACCAAGATGATTTGTTGGAGTTATTCTCTGTATTTTTTGCATAGTTTTTAGAAAAACATAAAACTTAATATTTCAAAATCCCTAAAAATATTTTTGTTTTGTTGCGTTAAGGTTAAAAAAAATTATGGATTTCGTAGTTTCTTTTTAATTCGGTGAGAAAAACATTGAAGGTATTTGAAAAAAAGAGAAAAGATATGGTTAATTTCCCAAGCATAATTATTGCATGTACTTGATGCTACCTGGCAAAGGAATTATGCATTGGTATATGTTTAAAACAGCATGCATAATTATCTGCAGCAAATGTTGCATAATATTGTATTTATCAAACAGGTATTTAAAACGCCCAATGTTAATTAATTTAAATTGATAAAATTGTTGATATTAATTACTTGACTTTTTTAGGTGTATTAATTTAACAATGCAAGTGATTAATTTGTTTTATGCCCAGATTATTTGTTGTTAAACTGTACTTCAATATAATTGAGAAAAAAATCCTTTTGGTTTATTACAATGTTATTTTTAAGTGTTGATGCACTCACATTCACCCCAATGCAATTACATAATGTAATGTATGCTGATAAACAAATTTATTGTAGCTCAATCCAGATTATATTTATAAATCTTGAAATATTATGAACCTTTGATGGAGGTTATAACCAGTACTTAGAAGGAACACCTTGTGATGAAACATGGTAAATTTGACCTCAGTACTGGTCTGTTCAAATTGTCAAGGGAGATAATCTTTGCTACATCGGCATGAACAGATAAATTGACTTCAAAATGCACATGTCTGTTGTTAGTGAAAGGCACATTAGAATTCACTACAGTTCAATAAAAACAATTGTAACTTAAACTAGCTTTGAGACTTTTTGTAGTGAACAGCAAAGGAAGATTTATTTATTGACTGTTAAATGGTTGGAAGTCTGAGCATGATAGATTTTTCTCACATACCCCCATTTTATTACCCTGTAGTCAATATCCACACTGAATGTAAAATGACATTTAGCACATTTTCAACAAGAACTAATTAACGTTGGACTGATTGCTAGCAGTTAAACATCTAATTGCAATGTACAAGTCTTGTAAGATTAACTATTAAATGGTGTTTAAATACATCCATTGTCAGGCTAAATTGTTCTCCGGATTGATAATCAAATCATGTACATGGTACAAAAAATTAAAGAAGAGATTCAAAATATAGAAAATTATACCAATCAAGTTATGTACATGGTACATAAAATAATAAATTCAGAAAATTATACACAAAATTTTTAAAAGTGCCGTTAAATTTAGCCCTAATTTAAGTTATTGTTTTACCTACATGATTTTTGTTTGAAACAGTTAAATCAGCTGGGATATTGAGCAACTTTAATACAGAAAACCCACTGTCATAATTTGATATTATATTCATGTTCCAGTACATCAGTAAATGAATTCTCTCATAAAATGAAGTTGTATTAATTGAACCATAGTGACTTTAACTGACCACAAAGAGCAACAGACAGCGGACATCTGTTCACACTAAAGCTTGTTATCCATATGGTAATGACATCTAATTTGACATGCATGTAGTGTCCATTTGTGAGAGGTTTGTCAATAGTAAATGAATATGATATTTCATATGTGGTCAAACATGTATACAATATATTAAGATATTCTAGATGCAGTCAAACAACTTTTATATCAGTTAAAATTGGAACTATCCATTGTCTGTTCTTCTTTTAATATTATCTGCAATTATGTTGTAATTGATAGAGATTTCTAAAGCTAAGTATTGCAAGTTTTTTTCCGGCATGGTTTTCTTTTGAAAAGAAATGAGAAAACAATACTTTTTCCTCTAAAATAACATCTCAAAAACTCAAAATACAATTAAGATTTAGATTTTGTAAATAAAAGAGACGGGCTATCCAATCTTAAAATGTCACAAACAAAAAAATATCGAGCTTTCTTGTCAATATTTGACTGGTGAATGATTTCATAGCTGCATTTTTATTTCAGACTATGTCTGATTTTTTTTCTCTTTTAAATTATAATCTTGCAAAAGGGGCCAATTCTACCAGAATTTTTATAGCCCATGGAGAATGCCCCAGGATAAATTTTCCCCAGAAAATGCAAACTTTTTTGGGAAAATAACCTTTTACAAGTAAAATTTTTTTTCTTTTAAAAAACTACAGTGTTCATTTTTTTCTATGGGTTGAATTTTTCTAAAGGCAATAATTCACTTCCCCAGGGGGAAAAAGGGAAAAAATGTTAATAAATTCTGTTCCCAGCTTTGACAAGAAAAAAATGTTTTACCCAAAGGACCCATAGCAAGTGAAAAAAGTATAAAATTTCGGTCTGTTTCCCTTCATTATGAGGGAAAATTTTAGGAAAATCAAAATTTTTAAAATCAAGTCCTGTATTCCTGAAAAGGGCCCAAAAACCTATTAGCTTTTTACACTTTTTTTGATAATCGAAGATTTTGTGTGACTTGACACCCGCAAAAAAAATCCTTGTAAATATTATCACTGACAAAGTAAATTTGGCTTTCTACATGTAAATATCACAATATTTGTTGCTACAGTTATTTAGCCTTGCTTAGAGCCTAAGACATTTAATCTTATTTTTTGATTCCCAAAAAATATTTGGTGTAATATCATATCTTCTTTACCATTGTGCAATTACATGTATATACATGTAAATGTATAATTAGTATGTAAAAAACTTAATTGAAACTGTAAGGATATCATGTCTTAAAAGAAATAATCTTGCAGCAGTTGAGTCCTAATAGTTGTCAATAGTTATTATCTGGAACTCGGCAAATGTGGTTTTTCCAAGCTCAATCCCCTGGTACAAACAAACTAAACCATTATAGCTTCAAGCTGCATGGACAACCGTTCACAATAGATTAGTGAATCTGTTGCGCTTATTTTCTAAACTGAAACTGTAAAAGTTTGTTTGTACCGCCGGATTAGATGGAAAAACCCAAATTATTCTTAATTCCGAAGTAAGTCTATTGACATATATATGGTAATGTGAATTGCCTGCCCTCAGAATTCAAGCATTATATTCTCCTTAATTAAGTGGATTTTTTTGTACATTTCAGAGCTGGCAGAAGATGATGAAGATTGGAATCCATGGGGGGAAGAGTTTGAAAATGAACAACTAGTCATATCACACCATGAACCACCGAAAATACTCTGGAACCTTGAACCTAAAAACACAGTCTCCAACAAGGGCAATAACACCACAAACAGAATTTTCAATGTTGAAGTGTGGGGCAAAGCTGCCATTGGTAAGAGTTAATATATCATAAAAAAAATGGTCATCCAGTGATCATTTTAACTTTTGTTGTCAATTAATGACAGATGGGGTTTGTGTCTGACAAGTATGGGAATTCAAAAATGATTCTATGTTCCAAAAATAACAGAACTCTTGTAATTGATTTAAAATAATCACTCGTTTAATATATATTCTATATTTTCATAATTGATTTTCATCAAAGGTCTATCATATTATTGATCGAATAAGAAACTTTTCATCATTGACCACTTATGACCACTTATGAAACATTGTTTAAGACATTTCGAAGTTTATAAGAGAAAAATTACAAAAGGTCTTATTTTTCGCCTTTTTGGGGGCCATTTTCAGTGGTTAGTGAACCCTTAAGCTTTTTTGACTGAGAATTCATCCAGAAGAGTAAGAAATACACATGTATATGAAGACCAAATGCTTACAAGAGAAGATTTATTGACTTATTGATTTGTATTGTATATTACAGTTTTGCATCTTATATCCCCCTCTACGTAATCTACAAATAATTGTCAGTGGCATTACAAATTATCACGGGACAGTGTCTGATACTTCTCCTAACTAGATTATACAAGATCCAAATATTCCCAGTGTCGAGTCCTCTATCTCTATAATTGTACAGCCTATGTCTACATATACTGACAATTCCTATTTGAGCCACGTCACGACAAAACCAACGTAATAGGTTTGCATCCGCGCAGTCTGATCAGGATCCATGCTGTTCGCTATTTAAGTTTCTTTACTTGTTATAGGGTCTGTAAGTGAACAGCATGGATCCTGATCAGACTGCGCAGGCTGGTCTTGATCCATGCTGGTAGCAAATCCATTATGTTGGTTTTGTCGTGATGCGGCTCAAATATTCCCGGTGTCGAGTCCTCTATCTCTATAATTGTACAGCCTATGTCTACATATACTGACAATTCCTATTTCATTTCCCCGGCCAAAAGTTGGTATCAATTTATATCTATTCGGTCAAAACAATTCTTTATTTTATCCAAGCAAGAAGTTGTAGTGACAGCTTTTTGTTGTTGATTTTTTTGTAAGGCCCAAAGTAAAGAATAGTTTATTTTTAAATGGTAAACCATTCAACAATAACAACACAATAAGACCAGTTACATGTTCTAACCAAAGAGCTTGCAATAAGTTGCCTATATAGATTCTCAAAATCTCAATACATCCTACTAGCTAGGTGTTTCTGCTTGTAAACACTTTATTTTGTTATTTTCAAAAGCTGTATTAATGTATGTTTTATGTGCATTTGATTATGACTTATAGAGAATAAACAATTTCTGTTCAATTTTAAGTGTAAAGCAGTTTTAGGCAAATTTCTTTTCTGTATTCACATATATGTTAAATTTTGTGCTCAACGAAGAAACCCTTATCTTGTAACTAAAGTAATGAAAACTAACTATCAGCCATTTTTTTAATGAAAATTGAAATTATTTATAGTAATATTTTTTACGATCATTTCTTGTTTATAACATTTTTGTCAGATTGTATGTTAAACTATATCATCATTTAAACCACCATAAAAATATTAACCACTAAATCTTTATCAATATAAATCAATATAAAATAAACTTTTTTTTATAAGGTATGTAAACCAGTGTCATATCTTCAGGCCACAAAATTTATACTTGAAAGGTTTGATCTCATCTTCTTTATACAAATGTGAGTGAGAAAAAAGTCTTAAGTCAGCAGGTTTTATCTGCCTAATTACTTGGGGAACTATCAATTCACCCGACTTAAGCTTAAATTGTGAAGTGACATAACTTTTGCCAATTACCCAGTACTTGTTGGAAACTTGCGATCCATAACAAAGATGCCCCAAATAAAATTGAGAAAAAATTTCAACTTTATCAGTTAATCATCAGTGAAAAGTGACAGAATCAGTGACAGTTTATAAGTCTTGTAAGACGCATAAGTAGAGGATATTGAATGAGTGTAGTTAAATACTAAATTTATTGAACGAGTTGAATAAAATCATATTATGCGAGCCTCTGGCGAGCATAATATTGTTTTATTCAACGAGTTCAATAAATTTAGTATTGAATCTACACGAATATAATATTCTATTTATCACATATATAAAATAAGAACAGTAAACTGTTAAAAGGAGAAATTTTTCTATGACGCGCCTATAGTGTAACGTTAACATTAGCACGCTTTAACTCTATGTTTCTATATAGCGCAAATGACGTCACGTCAAAAAGTTATTACACTAGTGTAATATCGTTTTTTAATATAAACACTACATAATGAGGTGATATCATTAATGTAATTCAGTTATGGCAAGCCTGGGCATTAAAACGATGTTAAAAATGAATATTATACAGTCACTATAAGTAGCATCCAACTGATGGTTTAAATAGATATGTCTCAGTGATTTTTATAGCAGTCACCAAAATATTATAGGTTGTAAATGGATGACATTGTTAATTATAAAAAAGCTATATATATGACAGAAAAGCCATTAGTATATTCCTTTTGAAAATGACAGGAAATTATGTACAGAGTTGACAATGCTGGTTAAGTAGGCAAGAAATGTTAATGATATTTAGAAAAAATGGTAAGAATTATAACAATTGACAGTTCATCATTTCAGTTAAACCATTTTGGGAGGATTTCAAAAGATACATTTTATACTTTTAGTTTTAAAAGGTAGATTTATTATCATACATTATAAAGCTAAGAGGAGAATAAAATTGCTGAACTTAAAGCTTTTTTAATTCCAACAAAGTACAATTTAAAATACAACAAACCTTTTTTCTTCTGTAACATGTCATGCTACAGAAGAAAAAGGTTTGTTGTAACTATATACAAATGTTTAAAGTTTATTTTATTACACTGACATTTTAAAGCCAGACACTAGTGATAGTTTGTACAACATTATAAACAATATAATACATGTGTGATGTGTATACAGTTGTCCTATATAAGAAATATGAGCCGCGTCACAACAAAACCAACGTAATGCCTTTGCGACCTGAATGGATCCAGACCAGCCTGCTCATTCGCGCAGTCTGATCAGGATCCATGCTGTTCGCTTACCAACTCTTTTACAAGTAGAGAAACTGATAGCGAAGAGCATGGATCCTGATCAGACTGTGCAGATGTGCAGGCTGGTCTGGATCCATGCTGGTTGCAAACCCATTATGTTGGTTTTGTCATGACGCGGCTCATATATATATAATCTAGTGGCAGTTCATGACCATATAGCCGTTGATTGATTTTTCTTTCTAACAGAATTTACCATTATTACAGCAGGACACTCTTCCCAGGACACAGTCTTTGTGTATAATTGGTTCTATTACTGATATAAAGGGAAAGTTTGGAGGACAGCAATATGTCTTTATTATATTCCTTACACAATTATTACTTACATTGACCGCTCAATCATGCTTTTTTGCCAAGATGTAGTTAGTGAAAGAGAATTGTATGTTCCGGATTTAAATGGAACGGTCGAATATGCTTTTAAATTTTTGCAGACTTTTATTTACATTATGCATTGACTTAGATACATTTAAATTCTGTATACTGTATAAACTATATAAACATACAATAAATTTGATTGTCACTATAATATAAGCTATCTTATGAATAGACATATAATTCAAATGTTTCTCACATATTTATTATTACTTTCCACTTTGTGATCTGACTTTTTCCACTTTGTAACTTGACTTAGACTGACCCTAACTCTACGGATCTTACAATAGCTACCAATACAGACCGGAATATCTAGCTAGAGGGTTAAACTGCTTATGGAGGTAAAGAGGTTCCGCCAAGTTTCTGCTAAACAGTTACTAAGAATTGTCTTACACAGGGGGTGTAAGACAGGTTTTTCTAGCAACGGTGTAAACAGTACATAATCCTGCCTGATATTCAAGAAAATTCTTGCTCTGCTTATATACATGTTCTAAAAGAACAAAGTTGAGCAGCTATTTAGTCTGATTGATGATTTGGTCACATGATTTGGTCACATGATAATTACTGCAATGATTTGTTACAGCTTACAGAACTCAGACTTCTGCAAATAATAATATTATAATTATGATGTGACAATTTTAACAGTGAGTTTAAAAAGTTATATCATTATCTTACTTTACAAATGGTACAAATTGATTAAGATATTTCCAATGCTGTTGAATTGTGTGTGTTAGATATTTTTAGCAAGACAATATATCTAGATGACAGATCCATAAATTTAGGTTGTATATAAAAATGTACAACTTGTTAACAAAAAATTCTTCATTTCCTTAATTAATGACAGGTGATTGTAATAAATGGTTTTGTAGTGAAATAATAACATTGTCATACATGTGTAAATACCAGAGTATTAAAACAAGATAATTCATGTATTGTATAATGATAAAAAACCAAAACTTCTTTTAAAGTGACCTTAGTAGCCCTTTTTATGTGCATGTACCTGAAAAAAAACTTTTTACCATTGCCGTGTTTTAAAAATAGTATTGGATTAAAACAAAATATTTGTAAGTTAAATTTGTGAAGGAAAAAAATAAATTTTTTTTACAAATTTTCAACAGCCCTAAAAACTACAAGTACATTACAAAAAAGAGGTCAAAATATGCAAAAATAATGACCTTGCTGTGATATTAGTCACACAGTAGAAATTAGGTGATGAATACTGCTCAAAGTTAGTGTCTCAAAGTTATTAATTACACATAGCATGTAAATTATAACTTGGACCTTGAATCTTTTAACTTTTCTTAAATTCTTGGAACATTTTTTCTGAAGATTTTCTTGAAATATTTTCAAAGCAGGCCACACTGTCATTGTTGCACCTCTACATAATGAAACCCCTTGTCTTGTTCTTTTTTGGACAGAACAAACTTAAAGTGAAAAATAGTTTTGGAAAGACCTTGATTGTCAATTATTTAGGCTGCAATCATTTCCTATCATTTAAGACTCAGGCCTGCACTATAAACAGTACTGAGCATTAACAGTTTGAATGAACATTTCAGTAATTGAATTGTTTTCTGGTAAGAATTTGTATGATGTATTTGTTACTTGATTGATAAAAATTGAGGGTATGAGCTAAAGTGCTATAGTTATTTCTCTGTTAGAATTCTGGGTTTGTAATCAAATCTAGATGATATATAGATAATGATATATTGGTACAGTTTTTTTTGTACAATGTCTTTCATCACTCCACCCACACTTTCTTATATGTGTGTTTGATAATAATATGTTTAACTTGAAAAGAAGGAAAATAGGTATTCCACTTGATTTTCCTAACAGAATTCTATAATTTTTCAGCAGAATAAGCCTCAAAATGATTGGCACAAAGTGAGTGTCATTATTTGAAAAAAAATAAAAAAAAATAAAATATAAATATATATATATAAAAATGTTAATGTTTTTCAGAGTCAGCATTTCATAAATTTACAACATATTTTTTCTGGTCAAAATGATGGAGATTTGAGCTTAGATTTAATATGCAAATGTTGAAACAGAGTCACTACTCTATGGAAATATAGTGTCTTACAAATTAAATATATCAACTTGAGAGAGAATTGTTACTTATGCTATGTCACTGCCCCTATAGACTGGAAGCTATATTTTTCACTTATTTATTCTGATAACCAGACAAGCTTAGGTATAGAAATATCTCATCTTGAAGGTGCTTAATGCTAACTTTTATCAGAGGAAGAGATAACAATTGACTTGATCTTTATATATAGTTATTGTTAGAGATAAAATTAATAGGGTATTGTCTATTGAATATAAGAAAAGATATTTTTTATTGTTCCAGAAGGCTTCCTGAATGTGCCCACTAGCTACTATAAACATAATTAAGTTTCATTGTTCTCAAAGATTTTTTGTGCCCAGTTACTTCTGAAATGGTTTCATTGTTTATAGGATAAAAGATTTTCTTAGCTACATTGTAACATCATGCAAACAAGAATAAAGACTTTTTCTATTTTAGAAATTAAAAAAAAAGATATCACTAAATTGGCTAAGTTTCAATGTGGCAACAATGGGAATTCTGAATTTACATCTTTCAACAGAATTTTATAAATTTTAATTTAATAAAAGAAGCTTAAAAGATATCTTCCTCAACTGGTATTATGCTGCTGACCAAAATCTAGGCCCCAATGCAGTACTGCCTATCAATTTCAAAGTGGATACTGGGTCACAAGCTAACATAGCTCAATATTCATCTTTGTATCCTAAAACACCCTTGTTATGCCGTCATCCTGCTCTTACAGAGCGGGGGAGCGTTTCACTTACGTACTTACGTTATCGTAACTCGAGTTTGGTCGTAACTTTTTGCGTAAATAGAACTTACGTATTTATTTGCATTTCACTAAACTTTCTTTGCTATGCATTTGCGTAAGTTTAAACGTAAAGTTACGCTCACTTATTACTGGCGTAAATTGCATGTTCTGTTAAGTGAAATGCAACTAAAGTAAATTTATGTTTTGCGTAAGTCAAATTTACTTAAAAAAAAGCAAAACTTCTGAATATTAGTGAAACGCTCGCCAGAGCTGTATTTGAGCCTGGCCTTAAACAAACCCAACCAAAAACATGTATTTTATAATAATCAATAACCAATTTTAATTTAAAAATATCAGAAACATCCTGAATGATACATTTATTACCTTTTTTTAATATAAAACCTAAGATCTCATTTGTTTATTTATTTGATATACTTTAACATTTACTTAATTGTTTATTTCAGGACTTTATTTATGGGAGCACATTCTGGAAGCATCACTTGAGGAAAGAATGGGTGGAGTGTGGAGTTATGGTGCCAAAACTGTTAATAATATTACATTTACGTAAGTTTTTAAGCACTTTATTAAAATGTTTTATAAAATTGGTTTAGGGGTTATGAACATTAATATAAAGTTTAGAATTGTCATCACCACTATGTTTTCACAAAGTTAAGGTGGCAGGTGGTCACCATGCGGGTATGAATTTTGTTTTAGTGAAACTAGTTGCTTTTCTTTAGAATTATTTTACTTCCCAAATCTCTTCAAAGATCTCTTCAAACTGCTGTTTAATTGAAGCTAGGCCTTTAATTTGTAAAGTAAAATTAGAAAGGTGAAATATGATTCCATTATCTGAATTTAAAGTAATACAGGTGTAAAACAATCTGGTAAAGCATTTTGATAAGAAAAGAACATCCAAATAAGGTTGTAATAAACATACAGAATATAATCGTGTTTGATGTAGACAAGTGTTTTAACAGTTATATAATGCTGCATTACTAGCGTGCTAACTCAATAACAGAAGCTATATATGTCAATGCTTGGAAAGTCTCATCAATCAAACAGAGGGACTTTTCACCTCTTCTCCAGGGAGAAAAATACCATGTTTGTTTTATGTATGGCGAGTGATATCTTAACATGTACAAAACAGACAGTGAGCAAATGGAAAAATTCCAAAACTGTCTTAAGTTTGAGAGATATATGTCCGGAGAATGGGACTAGACGATAGATTCCATTTAATCATAGCAGTGTTTGTTTTCCTATGAGAACAGTTTTAAGATGTTTCTTGACAATGATATGACTGTTTCAATTTATAGACGATGATTTAAGTGAATACTGTTTACATTTATAGACAATGATTTATTACTAGTTTTTGTAACAGACATAATATTTTATCTCATCTTGTCATCTTTTAGCTTAAGCTTATTTTGTTAAAGCCTCGTTGTTAGGAAGTGTTTATGCCTTTTAGAAAAAAAAGAAGAATATTTTCAATGTAAAGCTAGACAGATATATTAAATAGCACCTGCATGGTATTGTTTTTTATTGGTCAGCAATTTCTATTTGGACTTGGCAAGTAATTTTTTCTTTTTTCCATACTGTTATTGGCATAATCGTATAATATAATACACAGTCCATTTTCCATAATGATTAGATACTGAATTTAGTCAGACTTTTTCTGATAATTGTTCTATCTTAACCAATTACCATAACTCATGAATTGCTTGAAACTCACTTTATTTTGGAAAAATATTCGGTATTATTTATCATTCAGATTCCGAACTGGTCCAGGTGTGATACCGGAACAAGTGCCAAAAGATACTGAGAACCTCTTGCTCATTCTGAATGGACGGGAACCAGACAAGGTTCAGTTTGCTGAAACCTGGCTCAAATCTCTTCATAATCTGTCTCAGCTTAGGAACGTTGGTCTTGTGTTGCTAGGCAATGAGCAGTGCAATAATTCCTGGCTACATAACTACATGCACTATAATGGTGGTCTGGTGAAATTTGTGTTCCTGGTATATGATAGTCCAGAAATAGACAATGTTAACTTCTACCAGTGGCCATTAGGAGTTGCCACGTAAGTATCCTTGCCTTTGATTCAAATATTCGAATTAGTTTTTGATCACTTGATAATTGCTGGTTAGTTATCCGGAAAAGCCCTTTATGTGGATCAAATACCGATTATTGTAAAAAAATGTGTTATTTGGGCATTGAAAAAACAAACAAACAAACAAAATAACCTTGCCCAGGGTTGTCATTAACATTTTTTGCAGAAGGTTTGTTTTGAACTTGAGGCGGTCATTTCTGTCTTTATCATGCATAACAAAGAGTGTTTTCTTAGTTTTGAGGCGGCCCATAATGCATTTGAGACAGGCATTTTGGCCTCCTGCCGCCTCTTAATGACAACCCTGCTTGCCCTATTTAGCCCTTCCCTGTTTTAGAAATTATGTTTAGAATGTTTTAATTGGGTTATAATGTAAAGTTCCATATTTGTTATTGTGTTTTAAGTTTAACTAATTGAATAATAATGCTAATAAGAGCCCTATATTAAGAAGTCAACATTTTAGAGTCAGAATATCCAGGCTGTTTGACTAATAATATCTGTCATATGTTGCGGTTCGGATCGGAATATCCGTCCCGAGGTGACCCGCCCATGGGCGGGTGACCGAGGGACGGATATTCCGATCCGAACCGCAAACATATGCCAGATATTTTTTCTTGCATATTCTACCATATTTCATTATATTTTAAATTCTTTATCTTTAATTTCAATGGAAATGTATATCATGATAACCGTAACTACTTTCTTACAACAGCGTATGAAATTGCAACTTCATTCATAACGGTAAAATGACGTCATCCTAAGTGTGCCATTGTACAGCACGCGACTCATCTGGCACCCCCCATGCCAGATGAAATTTCGGCATGGGTAAAACTAACGGAAATGCCAGTCTGCTATGCAAGAATAGACTCTCTACTATTGTTTGCTCAAGTTTCAAATTTTCATATTGAAATTGAATTGGTCTATAGTGGAAGGTCTGTCATATAATAAATAATTACGTTGATTGTATTTATTATCAGGCATAACAACAAAAAGAATTATGTATTGTTGCTGTTGGCAAGTGCGAGATAAATGAACTGATAATACATATATCTATATAGCAGATAATAAATTCAGAGCAAAATATTATTTTTCATCATATAAATGTTGTTCATACTAAATCAATTTGAATTTTATCACCATTTCCTTTTAATTATAAAGGAAAATTAAAAAAAAAAGACAAAGTAAAAGTAGTCATCCCAAAAGTGATAACATATCATTTTAAATACAAATTTATTCCTGATTCCATATGGTGTTGAGCTATTCTCACTTGCAGTTAATTCTTTAACGATAGATTGATTGATGATGTTGATTCATTTGACATTTTCATTATTGTCCTTTTACCCAATATTATTGATTAAGAAAAGGTTCAATGTAGCATAAATAGTATGTTAACAGACGAAGTTTCCTTAAAATAGCATACAAGATAGATTAGGAAAAGATGATAGCATGTTCAGCACATAGTTCTATGCAATATTTCCCTGTAAATAATTGATGGATAAGGCTTCAAGGCAATTTTTACTGTCAAGGCAGTATGGAAACTTTCGATGTAATGGAAGACCGCATATAGTTGTGAAATTCATTGCATAGTTCTATGCAATATTCAGCAGTAAATAATTGATGGATTGGGTGTTTCAGTTTATCTTTGAAGTTGAACATTAATATTTAGTTGAAAACTGAATTTTATAATGTTACCAAATTGCATGTTTTAGCTCTCAGATATAAAATTAAAGGATCACTTTCAATATATAAGAATACCTAATATGTAAATAATAGGATGTATAAAATAAAATGCTTTTGCCACTTTAAAAAAACATAAAAAAATTTGTTGTGAATTGAAATTACAGTGCACATAATTACATGTACATAAATTCATTGTTTATAGTTTATTAAGGTAATTTATATGCATTTACTGAATTGTTGATTTTTGTTTAGAACAGGCATTAGTTTATTTTATTCAAAAGATAAAGTTATTATAGAAGTACAGTAAAATCTTTGATCAAAACTACTGTAAATTTTGAATAAAGAAGACATGTTAAACACTTGTCAATTAAAGTCATTATATTATGGTCCAGTTTGAATGATTAAATTAGTTGTGTTTGACTACATATCATCAAGGACCATTCTTTGTTTGTACCAGACTATAGAATATAAACAGATCTGACTCTTTTTAGCTCACCTGTCACAAAGTGACAGGGTGAGCTTTTGTGATCGCTTTTCGTCCGGCGTCCGTCCGTCCGTCCGTCGTCCGTCGTCCGTCCGTAAACTTTTGCTTTAAATGACATCTCCTCATAAACCACTGAGCCAATTTCATCCAAACTTCACAGGAATGTTCCTTTGGTGGTCACCTTTAAAAATTGTTCAAAGAATTTAATTCCATGCAGAACTCTGGTTGCCATGGCAACCGAAAGAAAAATCTTTAAATATCTTCTTTTAAACAACCCTAAGAGCTAGAGCTTAGATATTTGGCATGAAACATCTTCTAATGAGTGTCTACCAAGTTTGTTCAAATAAAAGCCCTGGGGTCAAAATTGGCCCCGCCCCCGGGGGTCATTGATTTTCCCTATATGCATATAGTAAAAACTTAAAAGATCTTCTTTTAAAGAACTGTAAGAGCTAGAGCTAAGATTTTTGGCATGGAACATCTTCTAGTGAGTGTCTACCAAGTTTGTTCAAATAAAAGCCCTGGGGTCAAAATTGGCCCCGCCCCGGGGGGTCATTGATTTTCCCTATATGCATATAGTAAACACTTAAAAAATCTTCCTTTAAAGAACTGTAAGAGCTAGAGCTTAGATATTTGGCATGAAACATCTTCTAGTGAATGTCTACCAAGTTTGTTCAAATAAAAGCCCTGGGGTCAAAATTGCCCCGCCCCAGGGGGTCATTGATTTTCCCTATATGCATAAAGTAAAAACTTAAAAAATCTTCTTTTAAAGAACCCAAAGAGCTAGAGCTTAGATATTTGGCATGAAACATCTTCTAGTGAATGTCTACCAAGTTTGTTCAAATAAAAGCCCTGGGGTCAAAATTGGCCCCGCCCTGGGGGGTAATTGATTTTCCCTATATGCATATAGTTTAAACTTAAAAAATCTTCTTTTAAAGAACCGTAAGAGCTAGAGCTTAGATATTTGGCATACAACATCTTCTAGTAAATGTCTACCAAGTTTGTTCAAATAAAAGCCCTGGGGTCAAAATTGGCCCCGCCCCAGGGGGTCATTGATTTTCCCTATATGCATATAGTAAAAACTTAAAAAATCTTCTTTTAAAGAACTGTAAGAGCTAAAGCTTATATATTTGGCATGAAACATCTTCTAGTGAATGTCTACCAAGTTTGTTCAAATAAAACCCCTGGGGTCCAAATTGGCCCCTCCCCAGGGGTCATTGATTTTCCTTATATGCATATAGTAAAAACTTATAAAATCTTCTTTTAAAGAACCCAAAGAGCTAGAGCTAAGATATTTAGCATGAGACATGTTCTAATGGGTGTCTACCAAGTATGTTCAAATAAAAGCCCAGGGGTCAAAACTGGCCCCGCCCCGGGGGTCATTGATTTTCCTTATATACATAGCAAAAACTTAAAAATCTTCTTTGAAAAAAACCCAAATAACTAGAGTTTAGATATTAAGCATGAAACATCTTTAAGTAAATATCTACAAAGTTTGTTCAAATAAAAGCCCAGGGGGTCAAAACTGGCCCTGCCCGAGGGGTGTCATTGTTTTTTACTCTATGTGTATAGTAAAAACTTAAAAAATCTTCTTTTAAAAAACCCAATGAGCTAGAACTTAGATGTTTTGCATGAAACATCTTCTTATGGGTGTCTACCAAGTCTGTTCAAATAAACAAATAAAAGCCCTTGGGTAAAAATTGGGCCGGGGGGGGGGGGGAGGGGCTATATACAGGTGAGCGACCTCAGGGCCATCATGGCCCTCTTGTTTGAAAATATTTTCTGTTATTTGCAGGTATAGAAACTTTCCAACTGTCGACAGCTCGAAACTTCCTGTACATATACATAGACAATATTCCTGTAACTTTCTAGGGACCATTTATAAGAATTCTTCACGAGAAACTTTAATGAAAATTTTAGAAGGTGATTTCTTCAGAGAAAAATGTTTCATCAAAGCTAGAAAACAGTAAGTATGTCTCTGAATAGAGAATGTATTTTAAATGAAGCTTACTAGATAATTTTGATAGATTTATAGATCTATGCCAGAAAGGTTGAAATGTAAAATTTGTTGTTAAAAAATGCCTACATTGTTTAAGGGATTAGGTAAATGATAAGATGTCTGGCTCCAAACTATTTTTGCTTTTTATATGTGAGTAAAAATTATTAAAAATTTTATGTCTTTGAATATCAGTGTTGACTTTTAGTGAAAACATATAATCCAATGTTGTAGAGAAAGTGTATATCTGTAAAATAAATTGCATGTTCAATTTGTGTGCCATCATTAAAATATTTTGATAATTTTCTAGTGTTCAAAGAAGTTGACAGAGTTAATTCAGGAACAAGAAAATTTATATTTAAAAGTTATTGCTGTAACTAACAAGTGTTTTGTTGATCTATCTAGCTGCCTAGTTGTCATTGTAACAAAGCACAGATGGGCACATGATTTATTTATCCACAAGCTGGGCAGCAGCATCTGAATTTAACTGTGTTAAATTTACTTAAATTAAAAAAAACACACTTAAATTTCCTGTCTTTTGTATATAGATGGCTGCCCCTGGAGACAGACAGCACAAGGGAGCAGTTTATACAGGCATTATCTCAGAGTGATCTCACACTTAACCCAGTCGGTGTCAACACTGAATGTTACCGGATCTACGAGGCCATAACGTTCGGTTCTGTTCCGGTGGTAGAGGACATCATGACACCAGGACATTGTGGGAGATCAAAGTCATCTAGTTCCTTTCCTTTACGTCTGCTCAAAGAAATGGATGCACCTCTCATGTACATTAAAGATTGGTCAGAATTGAGTAAAATCATAGAAAATGAGAAAAAACTCAGACATAGTGAAATTGTGAAAAGACGACGAAATTTGTTACTATGGTATGAAAGTTTTAAATCAAAGATGCGACAAAAACTCATCCATGTGATAAATAAACATTTTTTTGGCCTAAATAGATAACATTTCATAGGAAACATTATTTACATATATCAAGAGTTTATTACAGAAGTGTTTTAACTTCTGTTTTTACTTTTTATTAAGTTATGAAAACTTTTGGTTGAACCCTTAGTTTTGTTTGTCTTTTATGAATAAGGAATATATTTCATTGAGTTTGTTTTTTGTGTCACCTCTACGGAGTAGTGGCGACATATAGGGATCACTTCTCCGTCGTCTGTCTGTCCGTCTGTCTGTCTGTCTGTCCGTCCGTCCGTCACAAAACTTGTCCGGACTACTCCTCATAAACTACTGGTGCAATTTCATCCAAACTTTACAGGAATGATCAGTACCAAGTCTAGTTGTGCATATTGTCAGGATTTACCGGTTCAATGATTTTTGTCAGAGTTATGGCCCTTTAATAATTTTTAATTTTAAAAGTTTGTCCGGACTACTTCTCTTATGCCACTAATGCAATTTCAATGAAACTTTACAGGATTGATCTGTAGCTCAAGTCCTTGCGCATATTGCACGGGTTTTCCGGTTGAATGATTTTTTGCCGAGTTATGGCCCTTTGATAAAAAGGTTTCTTTTTCTGTGTGTTGCCAGATACACAAAAGCTTGTCCAGACTACTCCTCATAAACTACTGGTGCAATTTCATCCAAACTTTACAGGAATGATCAGTACAAAGTCTAGTTGTGCATATTGTCAGCATTTTCCGGTTCAATGATTTTTGTTTGACTTATGGCCCTTTAATAATTTTTATTTTTAAAGTTTGTCCAGACTACTTCTCTTATACCACTTATGCAATTTCAATGAAACTTTACAGGATTGATCTGTAGCTCAAGTCCTTGCGCATATTGCACGGGTTTTCCGGTTGAATGATTTTTGGCCGAGTTATGGTCCTTTGATAAAAAGGTGTTTTTTTCTGTGTGTTGCCAGATACGCAAAAGCTTGTCCGGACTACTCCTCATAAACTACTAGTGCAATTTTATCCAACTTTACAGGAATGATCAGTACAAAGTGGTTAGTCTAGTTGTGCACTGTCCGTCTGTCTGTCCGTCTGTCACAAAATTTGTCCCAACATGAAATTGGCCATCATGAGGCGACACATGTGATTACTGATCGCTCTTGTGTTTGTTTGTTGCCATGCCAGGTGGCAACTTTCTAGCTTAACTGGTTGCTGGTTTACTTGATAATCTCAGGTGCCCCTTTGTGTATTATTCAGGTAGGAATAGGCACCTGAGTAGAAGCTAGCTGGATAGCTTCCTTACATAAATGAATCCAAAGTCCTTGAAGGGATTTGAACCAACAGCTGTGAGTGGCAATTGATATGAATTTGACAGCATTAATATTTCACCGAGTAATATCATCAATATGATATGTGATAATATTAAAAATACCTTGAAGTTTGAGTGGAATATTCAATGATTTATCATTTCAACTGTGAAGTAAAATATTTACCACATACAATGAAAATTTTCTCTGTATTTAAATTTATCTGTTTATGAAATAAAGTCATAATTAAGAGATGCTGTGTGGGTGATACAAATCAATCTTGGTGATGAAAATAATAATGCAATAAATTTTGCTTGTTTTCTCATTATTAAAACGTAATCTTCATATTGTTTTAAATCTTGAATTTGTTTGTATTAAGCTGTGTTTGTAGATTATTTAAATGATTTAAGTAATATGAGAAAGTAATATTTGGATGTCAGTCTCAGTTTAGCTCTTTATTGTATCAGATATAACTATGATTATAAATTATCATTTTACAAAATATTTTTATTGTTATTTATCCTATTTTAAGAGTTATTTACTCCAGATTTTTCATATTATGTGTTCAAGTTTATTTTTCAGAATAATGATTTTGCCATGCAAGCATATACATGTAGACGCTATTATCAGATTGAGAAAATTTCACAAACAATTAACATGTTAAGATTTTTAAATACGAAAAGTTTAGATTTAAATTATTTAATATTTTTAGTTACAAGTTATCTGAATTTGTCAATTCTTAAATAATGAAGGAAGTAATGAGTTGAGCATAGGATAAGGAAGGACTAAAATAACTAAATGTATGTTTAGTAAAACAGATATTTGTATATTGACTGCAGGGAGTAAGGGAGTTTTTTTTCATTAGTTTATTATGAAATATTTAGTGATACTTTTGCAGATGACCAATATTTTTAAGTTTTTTATGCATGAATTATATAGATTGTGTAAAGTTTGTTTTTATTTCTTTACGATTAAGCCATTAAGTAAATTGGTTAGTATAGTTTTATAGGCCTTATAAATGACCTAATGCATAACTGTGATTTATGTTTAAATATTATCTTTAAATATTATCTTTAAGCCTTCTATTGGCAACTGAATGTAACCAGTACAGACCAAGTTCAGCCAAGCACTGGTCTGATCATTGTCAGCATTGATTGCTGTTCAGTCAGTTCTTATATTGAAATTTTCCCTAAATATAATGAATGGTTTTGCCCAGATTGAAAGATGGACAAGTCCATTTAAGATATTTAGCGGTGTAAAAGTTAATGGAAGTTGCACACTGGTTTTTACAATATTTTTGATGGTATTTTTCTTTACCTGACAAAATCTTTTTTGAAATAGCTTAGTTAACTAAATAAAGTAATTGATTTGATATAGACAAAAATATTTTTTGGTTTTGGTCACCCACAAGTACTAAGTCTTGCTTGGAATAATAAATAAGTACAGTGTTTAAGTTGCACAATGTGTTAAATACACATTTACAATGAATAGTGTTTTCTCTTTGTAGTTGTACACATCGTCAGTGAGCTGATACAGGTGTATTTTAGTAATAGCAACCATATAATAGTTTTGTGCTAGTCCATTGTTATAAAAGCTATGTTTGAATTTGTCAGAATCTTTGCTTGCTATACTTTTTAAGCTTTTAAGCATCCATTGTGTATATCTAAGTTTTTTTTTGGTGAAGGGGAGAGTGTTTACAAAATAGGCTTACATAAAAATATGAACCATGTGCTTTTTGATAGTTTAATTTTATCTTGTATATTTGTACGATTATTGTTTAAATTACGTTTTAAGTTTATTGTGAGTTAGATATTAGCCAAGAAAATTCGAAGTAGGTCTTCCATTACATTAGTGCTATTTTTATAAAGGAGCCTTATTTCAATTATTTGGATGTATTATGTTTTTGTAAAGGAAAGAGTGGACCAATGAGCGTATAACTACTGCAGGAACTAGAAAAATTATGTTACGATAAAGGTGACTGTATTTGAAAACACATTCATTTGTTATTAAAACACATGCTAAAAGTGGCATTGTTCCAGGTATTCTCCATATTCACTTGACAGATGACCTAATTTTTGTTGAGCCCAATTGAGTTGCTTAGTCATCACAATGGCAGCTTAGTGTAAGTGTTTGTGTGTCCATCAGGATTGTACAGACTGTGACTTTGCCATACATTTATGGATGCACAAAATTCAACATCAGTTGTAAAGAATGTCAAGCGTACCAAATTGTAACTGTTAGGTCAAGGTCATACTTATGGGTCAGATTTGAAAAATGAGTGTATTTTTGCTTGTTAGACATATGAGCCGCGTCATGACAAAACCAACATAGTGCGTTTGCGACCAGCATGGATCAAGACCAGTCTGCGCATCCGCGCAGTCTGATCAAGATCCATGCTGTTCACTATCATTGCTCTACTTGCTATAGGGTTTGTAAGCGAACAGCATGGATCCTGATTAGACTGTGCGGATGCGCAGGCTGGTCTGGATGCATGCTGGTCGCCAACGCACTATGTTGGTTTTGTCATGACGCGGCTCATATGTTCATGGAATCTCAAATAAATTGGTAGAAATGTCAACAAATGTGAGTAAATGTGTTGCCTGTTAAAACTAGAATAATTGTTGCTTAAAGGTCAAGGTCGTTCTCATTAATGATTTGGTAATTGCCAGTTTAACAGAAAAATGGGTGATGAATTAAACAATGAACAAACACAGATATGATATATTTTGTGAGTCAAGTCAATCAGATGGCTGGTTTACCAAACTTTCAGTATCTTGGGTGTTTTTTCCCCACATTTTTAGTATGTTTAATTAACATGAGATAAAACTTGTTCTGACAGTGTTTGATAAATGCTGTATATTCATATAACAGAAATGTAATAGATATTCATATAACAGAAATGTAATAGATATTCAAATAGAAATAAATATAATAGATATTCATATAGAACAGAAATGTAATAACATGGGGTATAGAAGACAATCATTTTTATATTGTTTGTCAAAATATAGATATGTTGAAGACGCCAAAAATATTACAATGAAATAGAACCTCTTATATTTCTAGTACATTTAGCAGCATTCATTTACCAAGGCTATATAAGGTGCTTGTTTTAACATTTTCATTATCACAAACAAATTTGTATAGCTTTTTATATAACTTCTCCAAATCCTGATTCTTTTAATCATTATTTTAATCGGTATAGGCAGTTTTGATATTTTTAAGGGAAAAAAACTTGTTTTTTTTATCTGTTTACAGTTTAGTGTATTTTTCTACAAGGCAGCAGACTATTTAGGAGTTTTTACTGCGACATCTAGATAGATGTGTAGGTTTAAAATTTTATAAGGCAACTATCTTTTTGAATTAGTGAGCCTTTTATTACATTTTCTATTTCAAATAGAGAGAGAGCAGAATAAATGAAGTCGGCAAGTTGGTAACTTTGATATTTAGAAAATTGTACAATACAGGTTGAGCATATAGCTGTAAGAATGAATACAAAAGCTTTATATCAAAATGATGTTTAGGCCAGTATGCCAAAGGTTTAATACTTTCAATAAGCCCATCCTTGATAAGTGGATCAGTGTCAGATTTTGTCTGCAGAACAACATATTATTTTAATAACATGTGAATTAAAGAAGCAGAGTATTACATATTCTGTAATAAATGTTAGCAACAAAATGCTTTTTGAACTACATTAAAAAGCTATCATATGGAGTTTATCTTTAGCAAGAATTTCTTGTTGTCTTTTCATTCCATTTTGTATTGTTTTAAGATATTTTCATTTTGTCATTGATAATAGTTGTAAATAGTTTGTTAGATATACAATGTAGTACAAACAGTCTTTCACATGATGTAGATAGTGTCTTCATACTGTATTGTTGTTTTATTTTATGACATTGATTATAATTACATCTTTCAGTATGAATAGATTTCATATTTTCATGGGTAAAAAATGCCATATCAGTATACAGATGAAATAAAAATGTTGACATACATAACCATGTGTTCCTTGTCCTTAATTCATTTTGTATGTTCTGCTTTCTGAATTGTCATTTATGAGAGGTTATGGTCCCGGTCCTTCACCAATTTTGGCTTATATTTTCCTGCCTGAAGCAGTTTTTTGGGTTATCTTGTTTCTACGTCTTCCAGTGACGTCATTCAGTGACATTTGGCTGTTGATATGATATCACACCAGAACAATGTTGTAACTTTAAACCTTGGTAAATAGCACGAAATGTTGTGATTTGATATACATGTACGTACTTGGGAGGTAAATCTGTATTTAATTGAATATGAAAAGTTTAGCAATAAAAGTTGATACTTAGTGTACAATATATATTAAAATACAATTATCCGCAAATTTGAAATTTGCCACAAGACGTATATGAATAGCGTATTGGCTCAACTTCATACTGCCAAAAAACTATTAGACATGCTAATGTTAAATTAATATTTCATGTTTCAGACTTGTGAAAAAGTATTGACAGTACAAAAAAGATGAGTTAAAGATAGAAATTGTCTCGAATTACACTATTCTTATGAATGATTTGTTTAAAAAAGTGAAATATATGATTTTGTTAACTATTTAATGCTGCACAAAGTAATTAATAATAGGCAAATAAAATATATGGCTGCTTATGTCAATGGGAGGTTACTAATTTGAGCAATAAAATTTCATCTCGTTAGATTTGGATATAGCATTGCTTAATGACTTAATTGAGACATCAGAATATCAATATTCTGTTTCAAATTTAAATTTGGTTTCCTATCATTAAGAATGACAGCGCGCCTTGTTTACCCCCCCCCCCCCCGCCATCTTCTTAAATGCAGTTCAATAACATTACAAACTCTTGATAAGAAAAGGAGCATAACTTAAAGGAAACATGGAAAAATCTTAATATATACTCTGAAAACAAAGGCTAGAAAATTAAATTATGAAGCAACTCAAACGCATATATACAGAAACAAAAAAATTATAAACACGGTGTTTGATTTTTAAAAGCGAAACTTAACTAGGAAAAAGAGCTTCTGATCGTAATTACCAACACATGTCGTCTGCATTTACCGTTAAAGAGTGGATGTTCTGGTGGATATTATTCACTAACCAAATAAGATGCCACTGTAACTGCTTACTGAAACAAAACTTTTACTTATTGTTGGTCGTTCTTATTGACTGAGCCTATTCGTTGACAGTCCCTAGCACCGGCTTACACATCATTCAATTTTCAGACATGATTGTAAAATAGAACATTTGAAATATCCGTAGACATGAACTTCACAGCAGGTATAGATTTTCACATTAATATACTTTAATGCTTTGAATAAGAAAATTAGAGATCATTTCTCTGAATTGCAACAGAAACTGTTGACCAACACTTACAAAAGTTGTTTTAATGTCAATAGAAAGACAGACAAGACCTGCCGGCTTTTTAAATTTGAATTTAAAAGTCTTTTGTGTGATATGCAGGCTTCATAGCCTTAGATCCCCTTTCAAAATTCCATTTTATTTAGTTCTGCCCATAGTTTTCTCGTTTAGGGCACACACTTTCTATTACTTTGGGACCATACAGTACACCGCTTTTTATTGAATGGCACTACTGAATGGCATTGACGGCTCCATGATAACCGCCGTATGAACACATCTGCGGATGTTTCTAAATTGAAAATTTCACCATTTTCTTGTTTGAATGTTGAATTTTGCTTAAGCCGGTGCTAGGGGGGGGAAGGCGGTTATTTGCACTTTCCAATACCGTACATGAACAGGCTCAATCAAACCGAGCCTGTATCATTTTCAGATTCTTTAGGGATTCTTGTTTACTCTTTTTTCTAGTATTGTAAGAAGTACGCGATATAACGTTCTGACAGAGTGGTAGAGCTTATGTATAACCTTGTTCTCTGAAGCAGATGGCCATAAAGCCTACAACTACTTATCGATTTATATTTTTCACAAAATATACCAATAATGACACTGCTGATGACTTTATACAAAATTGGTTAAATTACTGATATAAATGGAAATTTCTCGAGACAAAATGCTGTCTATATTGTCTCAATCACGCAAATCCGGATTGATACGACCTCTCAATAATAATTTGTCGCCAAGACGTGATTAATGTAAAGATTGGAATTGGCAAGAGCTCTTTTCTCTTTTTTCACTAGTAACAAAATGCACCATTCTTTTAACGGCTTATAGTGAGACAGTTATGTCTATAAAATACAAACTTTATCTTTTGTATTATAAATGGCAATACCTGTACTTTGTTAATTTCATATCCTTATTTAATGGTGAAAACTGGCAAACAAGCATAATTGCTTCGAGAACATAAAAGTTATTATGTAATTTGAAGTTATTATTTATTACATAACTTGTCCCAAAACCAGAATAACCAAACCGACTATTGCAAGCCGATCTGCACAAGTTTTTGTCATAATGTTTCTGAACGAAATGTTGAAAATAACTCCGTGCGCATACTATATCAGACAATAAAATATAATTCATACAATTTGTATTTAAATATGAACATCATGACATTATTGAAATGACATTATTTTCGGAAATATAATATTTATTATGATGCACTCTATCTGTCATCTTTCATTTACATTTTATAATTATGTATTGTTCAGGTAAAGGATAAAATCAAAAGTTGCTTTCCCAGTGCACTAATGTCCTCACTTATGTTTTCTCTTAATTCAATTCATGACTTTTTGTTTCTATGGATTGGTAGATGAGTTGGCTGAACATTCATGTAAAATAGTCTTCTCTTGAAACGAAAATGTAATTGACCGGTAGTGATATTTATCAAATACATCTGGGAATCAAGCATGTACTTTTTGCACTAAGGTATACTATTTCATTATTCTGTTAATACAAGTCAGTCAACCGTCTTTTTACTGTATATCGGTTGATGATTTGGCTTAGAAACGTTTTTTTGAACATGAATGTGAAACAAATGTTTGCTTAACAAACGACCCAAACTATGTTCTATTAATGTAACCGGTTACCCATATAATGTTTTAACATTATTGTTTCTTATGTTCCTGGAATTTTTCAAAATAATTTTAAGTGTATATTTTTCGCAAATCTACTTGAAATATGAATAGAACTTACGACTTTAATTTGATCAAACTCCTCGGAGAAATTTAACTTAAATACACAGAATTTGTCTGAAATGATGTTATCTTGAAAGCAAACATAAAAACAAGGTATCTATAAATGGTAATTCAGGGAAATAAGTACCCACACTCACAAACACAGAATGTGAAACATAAGTGATTAAAGTGTCAACAATTATAGTTTATGAAATAACATGTTTTTCTCAAAATAGAGAAAATACGATTTCTTACAGAAAGTCCAAAACGGCAAAATTGAACATGTTGCCGGCTCGGTTTGATTGAGCCGTTTTATGGAAGGTACTGTAAAGTGCAAACCACCGTCCATGTCCCCTTGCACCCTCTTTAGCAGAACTCAACATTTTAAAATAAAAATGGTGAAATATTGAATCTAGAAACATCCGCAGATGTGTTCATACGGCGGTAATCATGGAATCTTCAATGTGACACGTAAGTGACATTCCATGAAAAGCGGCGTATGGTCCCAAAGTCATAGAAACCTTGTAGCTTTTCTAGTCGAAATTACATTGATTAATTGGTTGAATGGCAGCATGCAGGGCGTGATTGTTCTTTTGTTATATGCCTTCATTTTACATTTATATATATCTAACAAATTACTATTATCTACTTTAAAAGAAGTGAAATTTAATTTTTATTGAAGTAATTTCACATCTTTACTAAATAAATGTTTATAATGTACAACTTTTAAGGCAATTTATAAGGAATATTGCATATTTACAACAAATGAACAAGAAGTAAAACACATGTGGATAAGTGAATGCTGTCAATCATTTTATCTGATTTTGTGAAGCATAAATTAAACATCTTTGTCAAAACAATATTTTCGTACGAAAAAGCACGGTTTTCTTGAAAATAATAATGAATTTTCTTCAAATCCTTTGGGAATGTGAATTATGGCTTGAAATAAAAACGAAGACAAAAAGTTGTAACGGCTGATTTTTCTTTATTGATTCTTGTACTTTTTAGAAATGTAATAGTATGCTTGTAGAGATGAATTTCTATTGAATTAAAACTATTCACGATTTAAAGTTATATGACGAATCAGTCTATGCCAAGTATCTAAGATAATGCTATATTAAAATGATAC